TCCTTCAGTGTTCGTCCCACGTAAGAGGCTGTGCTTCCATGCTACATCAACGTCCTTTTTCTTGAAGGGATACAGTATTAGGAGGGCCGAACAGATCCTCTCGTCGATGGAAGGTTCTGTCCAGCGTGCTGGAGTGCGGTCGAAGCTTCCCCCCCCCCACCTTCCCCAGGCCGTCCATCAATGAGTAAGCCTTAGCGTTGCCTTTACTGGGGTCATATGTTTCGAACTCGATACTGTGGAGCTGTGTCACTCCCTCCTTTTCGAGTGTTGAAGCTCTTTCCTTGCGATACAAGGGTGACACTGACTCTGCTAATTTCTATCAGAAACGTGATAATCCACCCCCAAATTTTTTTGGGTTTTCATTTTTCAGCGACCCCTCAGACGAAATCTGTTTCAGGATTCATCTCATCAATTCTTATAAAAATGTGAACCTTTTCAAAAAAATGTGGCAAGAAAAAAAAGCAAAAAATGTGCTTACATGTATTTCCTATTTATCGATTGTTCTTACAGTATCTGAGCGCCTTCTTGCCAACGCTCTACGGCATCTCACCGCTCACAAATCCGTCGTTTATCACGCAATTCAAATGCCTCCGGTAACTCGGACTGGTATGTACAAATCGACAAGAATACTTCCTCGGTCTTCGTGGCTGCCACATCGCAATACGCATCACTTGGTGTTGTGAATCCATTGGGTCGTGAGTACTTTTTTGTCATCTTGTGTCATATAAGTTGGGTGCTATTCTTATTTTTGGCCCACTGATCATATGGTCACCATCGCACACTTGGAAAATAGTGAAATGACTAGTTAAGCCCTATTATGTATGAGCTGGGCGAAAGTGGGGTAAAGGCAAGCGACAGCACTTCTCGCATGCGCGGTCCGGGGATCAAATCTTTGATCGAATCTTGTTGAGGTGAAAAGTCTCCGAGACAGGGTCATCCGTCCGTAGGTACAAGTACCAAAGAGGCGGGGTCGTATTTGCAATTCTGGGAGGGCGGTCGTGGTTGTGAAAGACAAGGGGGTCCTGGTGCAGGAGGGATAGGGTGTTCGTCAAAAGGTTTTTTTTCTGAAACTCCGACGAACATTTCGAAAAGCACGCACGAAATGTCAATATTAGAGGAGCGGAATTATCATATTAAAATATTATTCATTACGGAGAAATTCAAGTAAGGAATACAAATTATCCTCCCAGCCATGGGGATGTGGTGGTGGTTGGGGCGGGTGGTGGATCGCATTGGGAGAGCTCCCCAGGGCTGATGGCGATGGTGAGGGGAGGTCGTACCCAGACTCCTTGGGGTTGAGGGTCTGGCCAAGTGCTACCAGAGTTGTTTGAGAGGGTAAGAACACCAAGTTGTGCATCGGCTGGTTGGTCTCCTCAAGTCATTTTATACCATACCGCTTTTGAATACCGCTACGTTTCTGAACGCATCCCAAAAGGGGATGATCAGCGTCGGTAGCCTCATTTTTGTAAAGACACTTTTACAGAAAATATGGCACCTTCTGTGCTCTTCAACGTCGGTGGTACAAAGTTGTATCAGATCGATACCGATGGTCTACCCGGAATTTACGCTCTTACGGTCGGATTGATTTCTTATACGCTTCAGCAAATTTAGTTATACTTTGATTTGATCCTGCTCCTTATTTTGAACTTTCTGAACTTCCAGTTGACTTCTCCCGGAACTTGCTACGTCCACGTGTACTCATATGGCGGTGCTCAAGTCTACACAGAGTTCTCTGTCACAACGACCAACGATCCACTCGGGTCACACATCGACGGACAGCAACCACACCCGGCTGTAGGAGGTAACTCATTCAAGCCTATCAAGTCAAATAGTAGTTTTATGCTGAACAGGATATAGGGTGGGCTTTGCTTCTATTATCACCTTGGAAAATTATTGTACTTCATATTTAGCCAGTAATATCGCTACGTTCCATCTCGAAGGGCGACCCGGTCAAGAGGGATCCCTTCAATATGTCGAGGTGTACAGCCACGACACACAATCGGTGAGCCAGCGAAATTTTTCAAATTTGGCCTCCAATTGAAAAACGCTATATCCTTCCATCTCCATTTGGAAATCTTCCGTTAAAGAACCCCTATATGTAATTAGCTCGGGGTTCTACGTGAATCTTTGGCTTTATCACATCATAGGAAAACGGTCACGCATTTGTGGGCTTGTGGGGAGGACTGTCCGGCACCAGCCATTTTTCCTATCGTTGCTGTGCTTGGAGCGCTCCATTTACATCTTCAAAGGCTGCGCACACGCCAATAGGGTCTGAATGGGAACTAGGGGAGGAGTACTGGAGGCACCTTGTCCTACCTAGGTTAAGCGCAAGCCCTTATTTCAACTACCGTCAACTCAACTTATCACACTTCATTTTACCCATTGCTACTGGAAAGGAAACGCGCTGAATTTCTACTTAGTTAGTTGACTATAAAGGGTGTGAACTTTTCTTTTGGAAAGGAGTCCGGGGCTGCTGATTTCAAAAAGGATCGAAGACTACGGTAAAAGAGGCGGAGCTGCATGGATTGGCTACAGGTTGTAGCAATTTGTTGACTTCATAGCTTTCTAACAGCTTCGACTTCATGAACACATAGCGTTCCTTCAGTAATTTACCCATTGTATATCCAGGTGGTGCTTAGAAATTCCGACAAATTTGCAGTATTCGCTTTGGATTTAATCGCTTGCTTTAGTTGGTAATGCGATCCCAGCTCTACCGACGTGCTATGTGCACATTCGAGTACTACTCGGATCCGTTCGTATGTCAGACGGAATCACTGGAAATTTTCAATTTACGGTGTGGATGAGTACAATCAACAGTTCCGAAGAATGGAGCAGTTCTTCTGCGTCAATCACAACCACATAGGTCTGAGAAATTTGTTAAATTTTGAGGAGCATCGTGATAAGAAATTTAGCCGTAGGTTCGCTTTGGCTATCTTCGCGCTTCGATATGAGTCAAGTGTCACGAAACCACTGTGGCTCCAAATGTGACGGGACGGTTCCTCGACAAAGGCCATCTGTCCTTCACACAGCCGATTTGCGGCACGCATCAGCCATCTCCTGTGGTTTCGACGTCGCCAAAAAAATCGTTGTCCGACTGTCCAGCGGCAGGTGCATTCGCTGACACTTTTCCTTCTCGACGTCAGTAAAGAGCGGCAGAATAGCTGAATGATGTGAGTGCTTAATTTTCTAAACTTCGGCGGGTGACAGGATACCCGAATGTCGTGAATATTGGTATTTCCGCTAGCCAATATGAAGGGGGTTACGCAGCAATGCGCATCGAATCAGCGGACTGTCTGGTGCATCGTCTAGAAGTGCTACGCCTGTTTCATGCTCTTCAAACTGCTGCTACTTCGTGGATCTGGTAGCGAATCCCAAAATCTCATCGTATTTTCATAGTCTGACACTGGCCTTACATTAGTGTATTTCACACTGTGCCCACAACTAGTTTTTTGGCTCTATAGGGCAAAAAAAAGAGCGTGAGGAAACCTTAAGCTTACTCCAGTGTCAAAATTCGTGGGAAGAAAATTTCCTACACATTGACGACATTATGTGTGTGTCTCGGCATCTTGTTTGAATATTGGGCGTACCCCAAGAAGCCCGTCGCGCGGCGGCGAAGCGACGAGTCACGGCGCGTGCTGTCCGATATGCAGACGTTAGTATGTTCACTCTATTTTAACCTGATTACCGTACAGCTATTGCGCTGTCCGAGTCTGCGTCTGTTCTTCACCGCGCGACTGCGGGCTTCTTGGGGGCACCCTTGAATATTTATTCAAAAGCGTCAGTAGCCTTCAAAAACTTTCGTTCCTAGAAATGATAACACTACTTTCAGTATCCAATATGTTGACAGACGCTTTCAAAAAATGAAAAGGACCAATAAATTGAACAAAATGCGCGTCACCTGTGTGAAAATGTGGAGCGCATACGCGTCACATTTACTTTCCATGTCATCTTTCCAACTGAAATTGCCTGAAAATTTGTCTTTGATTTCCTGTTTGACTGGGTACTCGAAATCCGTAGTGACTTCTCTCCCACGTAGGTCTAGGTTACGATTATGTAGGTTAAGGATTCGCGGTTGACATATTGAACTGGGCTGGGGAACAGAAGTCGCCGTTGGACATTAGACTGAACAGCTAGTCGTTTCCTCTTACCATGAGAAGCAGGACTCCTGTCTCTGTTTCACTAGAATGCTGAGTTTATGAACAAAACTTCTGTCCCAGGCGGGACTCGAGCTTTCCCCCCCCTCCCCCCTTACTGAGCAAGTGCGCTTTTTTCCCCAAAAATTTTTTTTTTTTTTTACGCTACCAGAACGCCGTTTCATTCTAACAATCAAAAGTAATCAAAACAACGCCTGTGACATTTCTATCTTGTGACCAGGGTCGGTCCTATCGTTGTTACTTTTTCAAAAATTTTTACGACCCCCCTCCCCCAAGGTGGACTTGATACGACCCCCCTTCCATTATCCCATCATACCTGTCTACAGTACTGGTATCACTCAACCCACAAACTCCGCCCACTTTTCCTCCAAAAATGCCGTCGAGCGGGGGGGTATATACGCGCGCTGAAACGGCGAATTTTCTCTCCATGCGCTCCCAACTCACCTAGCCTACTACTCGTGAAAACTCCACTTTCACCACAAACTCACATGTACTTTCACGCGACTGAAGCGGATACGACCCCCTCCTATAAACTCAACCAGGTACGACCCCCCCCGTTGTTACTAGTAACAACGTAGGGTTGACCCTGCTTTGACCCTACCTCACTGAAAAAAAGGTTTGGATAGAGGCCTGATTCAATTTCCATGGCTGCAGACCATTAGAGCAGTATTACGTAACTGCTGTTGATTACAGTGTCCTTACTATTACTACTACTCACACCAAATGAAGTGCTGGGCCTAAACAGTAATTTATAATTTGACAACACTAATGACGATTAATATAAAGAAGGCGAGCGAACCCTCAATAGGATAGAAATCGTGCTTCCAAAAGAACGTCACAATTCAGATGAACAGCTTCGTGTCATCTGTGATGTCCGCCTATGATGTCTCACAGCAAAATGCTCGCGTAGCGCTGATGGCCGTCGGAAGTGGAGCGATGGGTTCGATCCCAGTTGCGAATTTCAATACCATCAGTTCATACCAAAATCTGCTCAACTACATCAACATGATGAACATGTACACGGATTTCGATCAAAACGGCCAGGCCATTGAACAGTGAGTTCACTTTCATCACAAACAACACTAGGTAGTGCAATTTTTGGGGGGGGGCTTTTTCTGAATGTATGCCTACAGTTTAGGCCGATGTCAGACTTTGCGAATCGCGCGATTCGCTAGCGTCTGCGGTCGCGTCGCGGCCAGTGAATCACTCAATTGGCTGGTACCGCAACGCGACCGCGGACGCTAGCGAATCGCGCGATTCGCAAAGTCTGACATCGGCCTCATACTTTCCATAGCCCCATCGTCGCTCACGGGGGAGCACATTCTGCATTTTCCGGGTCGAAACTGAGCCCGAATTCAAACACAAATAAAAAGAACGCGTAGTGAATCTACTTATAGGGTGGAGTAGGCGTTAATGCTGATTAAGATGTCTTTATCGATCTGCCCTGTTCTATGTTATGTAATAAATTTACTTATTTGCAGGGCTCTGAACATTGCTGTCAATAATGATTTTATGCATTCTGGATATCGAACCGATCTTAAAAATCATGTTATCGTTTACGTCACAGCTACAACAAAGTGAGTTTTGACCAACTATAACACCTTTCTTCTCAAACCTATCCATGAAAAAAGCTCTCTTGATGTCCTGCTGAGAAAGAGCTCACCTCAAACGAAATTTTATCGTAATAAGTAATAAGTAATGCGAAGCCTGCTTTCACTAGAATTATAGAGCTCGAGATGAGCTAATTTTACTCCGCCAGTATTGACTAGAGCTGCGCTATATAAATTAGAAAAGGCTAAAAAACAGGTATTATCTAACGCAGAAAACCTCACCAGCGATGTCTTATCGGCTTTTTTTTACACTAGGAGACCCACATCGCATGCCCAACATTTAAGGCGTATAGAGTGGCGCTTGTATTCCCAGACGTGGATGTTGCTGGGGCGTTGTATCGCGGACTCACAGGAACGATGGACGCCACGGTAGAGGATTTACTGCTTACAACTCGGAATGTAGGAAATCATCAGGGCCCACACCCTTCCAACGACAAAAACGCGATTTAGAGTACTTGTAGGGGCAGGTAGTGCTGCCTTCAGAAGTACAATTGCGTACCTGGGCCTACACTACGCCATACAAGATTATGCACATTCAGCAAGGGACGCAAGTGATTTGGGTAAAGAGAGACAGTATGGAGAAATAGTCGGGGACCGTAAGTGAGGGAAATGAGATAGGGTGATATGTCATGCGCAGGGCTAGATGGAAAAGATGAACAGTGCTAAATGCGTGAAAAACCAACTGGCCTTGTTATCGTTGGAAAGTTTCCATTGAACACATTCTCCTCGCTGATAGAGTTATGTGGAAAACACTGGAAGGCCCATTGGACCTGCAGTCGGGTGACAAGAGTTTCTACTGAATTCGCAGTTGCTAGTGGCTGAACACGAGCGCAGTGATGCAAGATGGAGCGGAGCATATTTTTATACGAACTCAGCGCCTTTCTGGAGTCGGAAAAGTCAGAAGGAAGTCGCTTACCCACCGTTAGAGACGCAGCACGTGATGTACGGGGGGAGAGGCTTTCGTTAAAGCAACAGTCCCAGCAGGGTGGGCGTGGTCGGAAACGGCTGCAATCCCCTCGGCCGATTCCCACTTCGGAGCTGTTCAGCCCCTAGTCAAGAACGTAAGAAGTGTGACTGAACAAAAACTCACCTTGGAAAGCCGCTAGGGAGGAGCTGAAGTGGGCGTGGTCGGAATCGGCCGAGGGGATTGCACGCCCACCCTGCTGGGACTGTTGCTTTCAAGCGCATACCAGCTCACTTCCTACATAGTTCGTAATTCAGGTGAGAGCAGGTGTTGTCACAATCGCATTTTCAAATAGTCATCGTCGAAATGGCCCCTAAAGTGAAAGAAGCAGTGTTCACTAGATATATCCCATGTATTATTTTTACAGATTCGACGATCAACCGCAAGGAATTGCTGACAAGATTTCAGCCAAAGCCGGCAGCTACGGCATCATTACTGTCGGCTATGGTCCGCTTGTAACCGATCAGAATGCTCTTCAGGTTTGTTCAAATCGCATTTTCGTCTTCTGTCATCAGAAGTTATTGTCTTCTTTAGGATCATTCAATCTGTGAAGTATAGAAGAGATGGCTAAAGGAAGCCGTGCTAGTTGAATGTTTTATAGTTTTTCGATTCCTATGTTGCTATTCATCTCTCTGGTGGACTGATCCCCCTGAAAACATCAACTGAAACTGGTAGCCTTACCGCTTCTTGCGCTAATTCTTGGCAGGCCCATATAGAGCTATTCTTTCAAATCACCAGCATTATCGGAAGGGTTCTGACGGGGACCCGCTTTTGGAAGCAAGTTAACGTATTTGCGATCACGTGCTTGTCATATAGCAGACCTGAACTTTCAAACAACTGCTTTATTCCCAGGTATTCCTTTTAAATCTAGACAAAACAGAGGGTGTGGTACTCAGCCAAGAGGCCAGTCGCGGAAGGAAGAGACGCAGGCGCTGTAAAGGACGAGTCGTAGTCGGCGTCAGGCTAAATAGAGTGTGCTACGTCTCATATCGCACAGCACGCGTTGCCACTCGTCCTTTGCCGCGTCTGCGTCTCCTCCTTCGCCGCGCGACGGGCCTCTTGGGGGACACCCGTGCTGCTCATATAGGTATCGGTGGACAACCGATATTCTGAAAATGCTTAACAATTATTGAGTGAGCAATGACTAGCTTTTGCTAAAGCAGGGTAATGGCGTTGGCGCGCCTTCGAAGGGTTTAGGCAAGATGCTCACTCCCTTTTTATATGGCCGATTGAGAGGTTGCCTTTCTCCAGATTATAAATTTACCTAGTGCGGGCACTAGCGAAGGGGACTCGCTAACTCTATGGGTATCACCCTTCTTGCATACAAACACAGATATTGATGGGAGCGCTCTTACCCCGTGATTCGATAAAAACAAACAAGTTTGTCAATAATGTCTTAATATCGTCATTAGCATACAGTCTAATACACTTTCAGAATTGCTTCTGCAAAACCTTTGTTACCACCCATTCTGCTAAATCTTTTCGCAAGGAACTCACTTTCAAGTAAATCAGTTATCGAGTCAATAAAGGATTTGAAGGGGGACGAGGAGAGACGACGGTGTATTCTGTCAGACTGTGCGAATCGGCAGATTCTGCTACATTAACGTGGCCTGCTTTGCCAGGTACCTAGCCAAATTGCAGCACTATTGACTCACTTGTCTGACTCTTGCCTACAATCAAGGTCGCACAAAAGTCTAAACCATCTCACAATTCATCCTTGGGTAGTACTAACAATAAGTGCACATTTTCAGGGCATATCTGGTGGAGCCGCTTGCTCATTCACTGCAAATGATTCTGTTGGACTTCTGAATCAAGTTAAAGCTGTAACACAGCTTATCGACAACGCTGAGTGAGTATCTAATTTTAGCCTATTTATCCCATCGGCTTGAAGGGCGGAAGTGGTGCAGTGAAGCAAGTGGCACGCTTACCACGCGAGCGGTCCGGGGATCAAATCCTGGGTCGTGAGTCGCCCGGGCCAACCAAGCCTTCCATCCCTCCGGGGTCGGTTAATTGGTACCAGACTTGTCTGGGAGGATAAAAACACTGACTTGAACATCGGCTGGCCCCCGCAAGTCATTGTATAGGCCACATCGCATTCAAATGCCACTGCGAATGTACAAATGGAAGTAGAATGCGTGCCGCATCCCAAAAAGGGATTGATCAACGGCAAATGCTTTATCCTTTATTTTATCCTTTACCCATCGGCTTTGATAGGCGCTGATTGCTAGTTCGAGAGGGGAGAGTGGTTGCCAGATGAACCGTTGTCTTTGTCGCCCGAATCTGTTTTGAGAAGTGTTCCTCTAGTGCAAAAGCGATAGCTATATGTTCCTCTCAACAACATGAGTTTATATAACTACAATTCGGAGATAACTCGTAAATGGTTTATCTGGTTGTGAGAAAAAGAAACGGTTTTTTTTTTCATATATAATACCTTACCTTTTCAGCGAGAATGGTGGAAAGTACTGCGGTTACTAGACAGCCATCGGTGACGATGATATTTTGTCCTGTTTGTGAAATTAATAAAGTTTTATTGTTTATTTCTGCTAGCCATCAAAACTATTTCGAAGGCTCGCTCAACTGCTCGTAACAGTGTAAATTGTATTGGAGTTTCGGAAGAAGGGGAGGGGGCAGACGGGTTTGAATCAAGGTAAAGGTTCAACATGAAGTGCTAGTCAGCTTTCCGATTGTTATAGCTCCGTTCGCCAACAGTGTCCGAGCTATTTCGTTACAAGGAAATTGAAAAGCAGATTTCGGAGTTCTTCACACTTAGCGATTATGGTTGAGGCAACAGCTGTGAACCTGTTCCCAGAAAACCTACCAGGGCTGTCAGTTGATACCGATCATATGGTAATTCAATAGTATTTTATTCACAAATGTAGCGCGCCTTTTCGTACTCGCCTAAAGGTGCTGCTCACAGTCTGCGACCGTTGGAAAAGAGTGAAGTCGCAACCCGTTCTAACCTCCCCTTCAAAAAGCGAGAAAGTGTCGGGTGCAGACCAAACACCACAACTGACGACGGCCTCCAAGTAAATCTGGTTAGAAGTTGTTCATAGTGATAGCTGATTTCTGGTAAATGATAGTTGTAATTAGTGACAATCGATAGAATACAACTGCAACAGGCTAATCATTTCATTGGCAGAAAACATTAACATTTTGTGAAGGCCGTCGTCACTTGTGGTGCATGGTCTGCACCCGACACTTTCTCGCTTTTTGAAGGGGAGGGTATACGATCAGGGGAGTAGGCGGATGGTGCGTCGTTTGCGCGACCCATCGATTCCGATGGGCGGGGTTATTCGATCGATACCTATCTAACTCTTTTCGCTAATGTTTCGGCGTTTTGTTAGCTCGTTTTGTCGAGCTCGGGTACGCCAATTCTCGCGGTCGCAGCGTATTTAATCCTTGACGCGAATTCGGATTTCCTGGTGTCCCAGATTGTGAACAATCCTGCACTACTCCATCCTGGAATTCATTTTTCCTGTTTTCTTCATCAACATTGCTTCAAAGACGAGTTTGAGGACTGCGAAAAAACCCTCTAGCAAGAATCTAGATCTGCGTATTCCATAGCAAATCTTCAAAAATCTCAGTAAGATTTATAGCGAAATCAAAAAATACAGGAACAAGAGGGCCATCGATAAGTAGCTAGTGCCGCGCCGCAAGCGCACGCCTCCAGTCATGGTCAAAATATGAGCACAAGAAAGTTGATGAGATTAGCCAGTTGAAGAACGATGAGAAGAGCGACATCCAGTATTCCTATGCTCCTCTTTTTCAACCTGTCAGTCATGAGTGCTTCTTGGAACTTTCTAGAAACAGGCACATTGGTAAGCGGTGCAGCAAAACATGGTTGAATGTCTTCCAAACTCACTCCTTCTGAGCACTTTCACCGTTGATGGGACGCCGGTACTGTAGTCTTACATAAGGCAGAAGAAGTATGATACCCAGTGATACCACCATAAGAGCTAGGTTCACTGCGACAAAAATGGCTGTCAAATAAAATGGATTAAGCATAGACAACCCAGCTTCAATTCAACGTGCTCTCGTTCGAAGGTTACCTTTAAATCGGGCGCTGTCAGAAATGAAAAAAATAGAGGTGGCAGGTGCAGTGATAGTGAAAACTCAAGGGTGACAGAACCCGCAAAAGAGACCGTTTTTGGCCCCTCGTTTTCCGCACTCCCCAAAGTTCTGCGATAATGAATTTTAAGCGTTCCGTCCGCTCTAGGCAAAAGAGATTTATCACGCGAGTACAGTCAGTCATAGAGGTGAGGCCGTCATCTGGAGGGAGCTGCGCGTTACCAATTGCCGCAAGTACAAGGGCTCCCGTCGGGGCCACTAAGCGGTGCATCCTTCGGCGTTAAAGTCAAATATGGTACAACGAGTGACTCAGGAGTAAGATATGGGAGGCGGAAAAGTTGGAACAGTTGCAAAGATTTCTGAAACATTTCATGACAATGAGTTACTTGTGAAGTTCCGCCTAGTTGGAAACGGTAGAGGAGACATGTATTGCACTGACGGCAGAAAAGCTACACCAATCGCCACTTTTCCTTCTATGTTAGATTAGCTTCCTGGAGAGAGGGCTGGGGAATATAAACTAAACTACGAGAAGCTCATTTTAGAAGGCCCCACACATCCGATTTTCATTTGTTTTGCATAATGGGCCCATGAAATGTTCGAGCATCAGTGAGCGGGTGCTAAAGCGAGCTCAAAGGCAGGGAACATATGTCGAGTGGACACCACCACCCAGCCTTAGATATTAAGGTTACCTAGCCAAGGGTTAAATGCGGAATCGTTCACATATTGAGAAGAACTTGCAACATTATCATAGAGAGAATTGAAAATTAACTTTGTTCCCACCGATTTTCGGTATCTCATCAGTCTTCGGCAGCACAGTTGCAAGAATTCCAAGGATAAAAGTTACAGACATGACATTCGTTAGTGCCATTCCCACCTAAAAGTTGCGACATCGGTAATTGTTTTCATTATTTCCGTAATTTCAGATAAAAGAAGAATCGGCACTATTCAACTATTACAACCCCAAAATCTCAAAATTTTATTTTTCGTCGAAACTTCCTCTATAGGGGTAATTCGGTGCCCTGATACGAAAATGACATTCATTTTTGGCGGTGGCGCCATCTGGCGCCAGTTGGCGCCACCTTGTCACGACACATGTTTTCACCAAATTCGGTGTAAAGTTCTGTATAGGGGTTATTTGATGTCCTGATCACGAATATGACATTCGTTTTTGACATTACCGCTGTTTACCGCATAATTCCCGCTTTTCTGGGCTCTCTCACCTATACATAGCGCCTTGGGACTAAGCTTAGGGGATAGGGAGACTCGGAATGAGTGAATCAGGCACCGTGTGACGAAGATGGAGCGTGTGAGATCACAGGGTAGGGGGCTCACTCACTGATATCTTTCCTCTCTCCTAAAGCTTAGTCCTGATCGCGATCTAGTCACTAGGAGGGCGCAGACGAAGAGATTAAAGCGCTAAATGGAGCTAGCGCCAAGAATGAATGTCATATTCGTAATCTGGACACCAAATTACCCCTACCCAGAAGTTTACATCGAGTTTGGTGAAAACAACTGTCGTGACAAGGTGACGCCACCTGGCGCCAGATGGCGCCCCCGTTGAAAATGAATGTCATTTCGTAATCAGGGCACCGAATTACCCCTATAGACAAAGTTTCGACGAAAAATAAAATTTTGAGATTTTGGGGTTGTAATAGTTGAATAGTGCAAGAATCAATTAAATAAGCTTATGTAATAACTCCGAACAACGTATACAGCGCAAAATTACGAAAAAGGTGTCCAAATTTGGCATACAACATGGCCTTCTGTGTGCTGAGCGCCGACATGGCGCAGCCTGTCTATAAAGGTGGTCTTATTTGGTGCTATCTTAGTTGGGGGGGGGGCCCACGCGGCATCGCGCGGGGTCAACGGATTGCTTGAACTCGGCGGGTACCCCCAGGAGGCCAGAAGCGCCAGCAACGTATCGATACGAGCTGCCATAGCGCAGTGAATGTGCATGTGGACGTGCAAGTGGGACACTCTTAATTCGACGCGGGATCCCTTTATAGTGCGCTGTGCGAGTCTGTCACGCTTGACTTGCCTTTTTGCCGGCGACGGCTCCTGGGGACTCCGACTCAGCCCTTTACCGCCTCTGCTCTCTCTCTAGCGGATCACTCTACTCTCCAAGGCTTACCATTAGTCCTAGGGCATTCTCTAATCGTCTGTGCTCTAGCCATCGCGGCAGACCATTGAGGAAAAATCAAGAAGTCCAGTCCGCGCGCCTCTGTTCGTTCTGCTACTTCAAGGCTTACTTAGGGGCAGTAACTATTTAGCCATCACGTGGCAGTTTCCCCCCCCCCCGCCATCGGGGACTAAGCCTTGAAGGAACACACGAACTGATGTCGGGCCGCCGCGTGGTCCCCACCTACCTGAGATAGCACCCTTTATTTCAGTGTTCCTGGTTGTATTCTATTGTCATCACTTTCAGCACTCGCGCATGAACTCTAATTTTCGAGCACAATAACCGCATCGACCCATTGCGAAGTATGTCTCTAAGCTGGCCGCACACCTGCAAACCAATTCTCGGCATTCCTGTAAGGGATCCCATATGGGAGTCGACCCACTCATTACGACGGATTTCAAGCACGTGCACTCCACCTGTTTCAAGTGCGCCGGCAGTGCGGGCACTTGCGGAGCGCCGCCATTGTCGAATTAGCACTCTCGATGCGGCAGCGCGCGCAACACCAACATAGTATGATTGGAATTATTTGAAACGGCGGAGGGGGCTATGTCTTTCGCAATCTCGGGAAGAGTGGCTTAGGGTCAACCCATCCTGGAAAGTGCAAGTAGAGCTGGCCATGGAAATGAAAGAGTTGTTTTGGGAAAGGAGGTGGTTTTGACTGGCTTTTGAACAATTTTAGCGAATACTTTATGAAGGAATCATGAATAAAATAAATGGTTAGATTTGCCGTTTCTTGAACATACTGGGTTTACCACAAGTCCCTCTCAACCTGCGCGATAAGTGATGTACTGGAAAGTGGTCGGGGATCCCGGTTGAAAAAAATGTGTCGTCCAAATCACGAAAGCCGCCATGGCTGCTGGTTTCAGGGTCAATTTGGAACTAGACTTGTCTGGCTGGATGAAAACACTGCCCTCCATTATATGGACTAACCAAATCGTATCGAATTGGCCCCTACCCCTCTGAATGGAGGCGCCCCCTCGAAACGGTATTGATCAAGGCCGGATTATTTGATCTTTTTTGTTATCGCTATCTCTTGCTCGAGGGTGCCTTTAGAGTGAAGTGTTTACAAAGTTGGAGTTATTGACTTGTCTCATCACCGTATTGTGATAAATCAATCATTTCGCTAATTTTTATCTTACCAGATTAGTCCCCCGTCAACCGCCGGGACCTTCCTTTCCTGCGCAAGCTTTCTATCCTCCGCTATGGTCCCTTCCTCCTGTGACACCAACACCTGGAAGTGACGCGTATGCAACACAATGGTGTTTCATACAGTAGAAGGGACACAATCATGATATGACGGTAGATTTTTCGCTTCCCTTCCTCATCCTCCCTTCCTCTCTCCACTGCCCTCCAGCTGCCACTGCAGCACCATGTGGAATGAACGGAAGTGTGCTAAGCAGGTGTTTATATAGCCCTAAGAGTGTTATCACAACTATCCTGCTACAAAACATTGATATCTCAAATCCTGTAAGCTACCCGATTTGTTAGCGCGTTTGTTTATCCCATGAGCTTTCCTTCTCACTCACTTCATTTTGCGGACGGACACACACATACACACATACATACATACATACATACACACACACACATACAGATACACAAACCGACACACAAAGTTAGCGCTTTATAAAATAGAAGGATTCTTTCTATTCTTTTCATTTCTTCGAGTCATTATAACAAGGCAAAATAGAACAGTGGACAGCCTCACGCACCTTTGCCATGCGGTCCGCTCGCAGAAATAGCCCAAATAATGCATGAAGGAACATTAATTATAAAGGATGGGGAGATGACTACAGTCACATAGAATACTGGATTGCGTTTCATAGAGACATCGAAGTAGTTCTGAAAGCAATTTTTACGTCACAAATAAGTTAGATTCTACAGGTTGATTTGTAGGCCCTCTAACATTCATGAACGACTCTATTCAGAAATGTTTTTCATGCCATCCTTAACATTTACCGGATAATCCGAAGGCCCATTCAGTAAATTAAAGAACACTCTAACCCCCTCTACTTGATCGTAGAGAGTGGTTGATACTATGATCTCAGAAATCACTCCCTTTCACATCGCTTGAAATTTGATCATCAGGAATGGGAAGGGACATTATGAGATTGGCCACCATACCCAGTGAGTAGACAAAGGAGCTAATGGTAAGCAAAAGACGCAGCTACTTCTGATGTGCATGGAAAGAGCGTTACAAGATACATACATCTGGAGTTTTCGTGGCAGATAAGAATAACTAGGAAGCTTATTAGAACGAGGCCGACTTCAGGATTGCCAACATATAAAAACTTTTTACTTCAACTATGTTTCTTAGTAGGGTTTCAGATGCATCTCCGTTGCCTGTGGAAGAAAATGGGAGCGTTCCCGATTGTGCGCGCGTTCCTTCCGGAAACTCATCCCACTCATCGCCTTATACCCTAACTGACATTGTAATACCTGGATGTACTAAGACTCGTGATGTGATTCCTACTGTTAACCGGGTAAGCAGAACAATATGTTAGGCTATTGGGTAATAATCAAAGCTGTTGGGTATTCCAAAGGTATTCTGCAGAAAGCAACCATTCTTGCGTTTTAGCAGGCTATGGCTAGAATTCTTGAATAGCAATAAATCAGTGTTAACAATAAGTGAGCAAAATTTGATTTTACTTACAATTCCACAAGAAGCCCATCTGTGTTCTCTTCGGGTTTTGTCCACACAGAAACATTTGTGATTTGCCATTCGCCGTTTCCCTAAACAAAATGAAATTAATCGGCATCTCGCTTCAATTTTTATACCACCCAATCTTTCCACGTTATTTTTAAACATCGAGAAAAGGCCAAAATTTAACCAAGTTCCAGGTTCTTCTGGGTGGACCAATCTGTAATCAAGAAAAACAATGTGAAGAAATCCTATAAGAACCATCTGTGCGATCCGCGAAGCATTCGTTGTGAAGAATTTTGCTTCTATGGCGTATTGACGAGCTATGAATGTCTGTGCCATCACTTTGATAGTGCACGTTTGGACGTCGAAAGGAAAGTCGTGTATCTGAATACATTTGAATAATTTGCCAAATTTTAAAAATCAACAAGATTTTGATGGCGAATAGTGGCGACTTGCCAGCGGCAGAAAAGCAACGCTATTGGAATCAAACTGTAGAGCCGTTTCTACCAGAATTCCCATTCGTGACAATGTCAGCCACCGGTGGCTGACAAAGCTCTCACTCGGGACAATGGTATTACTGTGGCTGCAGGGCTTGAAATGGAATTTGGAAAGTTTTCTTCCATGGAAAGAATCTTCATACCCTCGCTCATCTACGCCAGCCCTGGGCAGAGGAAATCTCCCTTCACTCGGATTTTATTGAAGAAAAATCTCCTGACGCTGCTGCTATTGCGCAATCCTGCGCGGTCGCGAATGGGTTAACAGGCATTTCCCTTTGCAGTTTATTCAGCTAATCCGGTAGCAATACCTACAGTTTTGCACCGAATACCATTACATGTAACAAATACTCACACAATTGATATAGCAGGAGTAAATGAACTAAGACCCATGGCGCCTTTCTGAAGAACAACGATCAGCCGCTGAGGCGATTTTTGCCATCTTGAACACTTTAAAAGCGGAAGAGAAGGTGTCAATAGCGATGTACGCTCTCCATAAATCTCAGCACGGAGAATTGTTGGATTCTTAGGTGAAACTCAAGTTCGGGAGGGGTCACTACATAAATTGTGCTCTCCAGTGCTAAGGATTAGGGTATGAGCATTCATGAACAAGTAATCGTAATTATTCAAAATGCTTCTGATTAAGGAACCGCGTGTAGTGTGAAAACTCAAAGGCTGGCCTTCAGATCTGGTTCGTTTTACTTTACATTGACAAGTAGAAGAAATCCCTCTCTGTTTTGTAGTAGTAGCCGTAAAAGTCTCACCTTAATCTTGCATGCGATGGACGTCACTGTCGGCACGAAGAATTCCAGCGAACCGGAGCTATTCAACTGAAAATAGGTTTACTTTTGTGCTGAACATACCTGGAATTCATAGTTTCCCTTAATTAGTACGGCAATCTCTGTTTTATGAGTTACGTGCATAGATGAATGTGTAGTACGTGCTAGCGGTGAAAGTGTAGTTCGGGGGGGGGGGGGGGCGCCTCTAAGTATTCGAGTGGAGTTGCGACAAACACGCATATTTAAATCAAAGTAGAGCTGCGGGAAGGCTCTCATATCTTATCATATCTTTCACTGAGACCGCGGCCTACGACTAGTAGGTTTACCCTTGTCATATTATTCTATGGCTAAAATGGCTGCTACCTTGCTGACTCTTCACTTTCACCAAACCTTCCTGCGACTGCCATGTGAGCCCTCGAAGAAAGGACATTTCAGGTATCCGATTTTCTATGGAATCTTTGCTTGGTATCCCTATCTAATCATACCCTCAGAGACTGAGTCTGGTTGTTGATTAGATATGACCGCCCTTCCGCAGCTCCACTTTGATTAGATATTGTCAGTTCGATTAGATATTATGAGTGGCCCCCCGAACTACATTTTCACCGTGCTAGCTTCACACCAGATATGCGTTCGGCTTTGGAAAATGAGAGCGATAAGCGGGCAAGTTTATTTATTGTAACTAGGTCACGTGGCGGAGTAAGTGCAGCTACGCCCAGCCTGCACGCGACGCGGCGACCACACTGACTAAATTCTTGACCGTCCCGCAGCCGTGGATCGATCAGTTTGCGCGGATTTTTCCCCAAACTGGCCCACTGATCAGAGCAGTCATCCGCGGGTTCATTCGAGTAACAAGATGTTAAATGTTAAATGTCAAACTATGGGAAGATTTCCGAAAACTCCATTGAAATAAATGATTTTGAATCAATATCGAATTCATCCTTAACATTCGCAACATTAAATCATCAAGGCTGAAATTCTGAAAATTTGAGAGCATTTCGTTGACAAAACTCTCTCTGAACCTACCAAAACGAATTTCTGGAAGTCTTCTCGGTGATCTATGGTGGAAAGTCTGCAAATTTTATTTAGTTATTATTATAGTTCTACATTAGAAAAATGATCAAGAAGTTCTGAGGTATGCTAGGATCCAATCGATCAGCAAATAGCAACTTACACGTCAACTATATAGTCACTTCTGGTATCCAAACATCTTCTCGAGCCAAATACAGCTGGTTGATGCCGCAATGTTCTGACGGAGTCCATCGAAGCCGGTTGTCATTCCATTTCTATTACAAAGTATCCTTCAAGCCTCGTATGCTAAATCGTACGTGGAAATATGGCACGATTAATGCGAAGCCAACTCACCAACTTATATTCTAGACGGAAGTCCACCTTCTGCTGAGATTCAACCTGAGTAGAACGAAATTATATCACGAATTTTCCACATTTTACTAAGGCGTTAAGAATGTAGTAAAGAAGCTCACCACGCTTATCAGCCGCAAATAATTAATTAGTAGTGAGACTTCGAATCGTGGAAGATGAACTCTGGCTTGTGAACTGTTGTCTAGAAAGGAAAGGTAGAGCGGATAGCGGCAGTCACGCTATTTGTGATGAAAAACGCCACTTGAAGTGAAATTACTTCACAAAATGAAGAGTATGATGGCGACAAGGCAGCAGCATCGGACGCGCTTCTGTCCTAACTCAGACGTTTGTGGCCCGGTGCCCGTGTCGCGGCGCGAGTGGCGCCGCGTACGCCAGAGTAGCAAAAGCAGCCCTTTTGGCGTTTCGGCTGGGACCGTATGCTGAAGGGGTGGGGATCCCCAACGGTCGACGGTTTACTTCAACTCGGTTGGTACGATAGGAGAGTACTGACGCAAGTGGTGCAGCTGGTCCAGCAGCTCCGCCAGAAGGGCTGGTTTGCTCACCCCAGGACTAAGCCTTGGAGAGGGGACGGACCCGTCCTCTCTTTAAGGCTTAGTTCTGAGGTAAGCACCAAATTGTGGCGGTTCTAAGGATCGAGTTGAGGTGGTCCGTCCACCGTCGGTGACTCCATCCCTCCCAACATTCAGCATACGGTCCCAGCCGAAGCGCCAAAAG